GCAATGAAGCAGAAAATCAGACCGGTTGTAAACAGACCAGAATATCTTACTCACAGCCTGCTTTGTGCATAAATCTGAAAAATGCTAGAAATCTCTTACTTCACAGGAGTGTTTGGGTTCGTTGCACCATTTGACTTCTTACGCTGAAGACCCGCTCAGAGCCAACATTGCCTTCACAACTTTGCACTCGCCGCTGATAAGTCAACGCTTGCAAGCATGCAAGTTGCTTGCTCATTAGCAAAGATAAGCGTAAATAAGCCTCATTTTTCTGAGATTTTACATGATTTTGTGCCAAAAAGTCGTTCCGGTTTTTTTTTGTGTCCGTAATTTTAAAGGCAAAAGAAGAGAGATCTCATAATCTATGAAAATGATCTTCTCCGTTTTATTTTCTTCCTATTTCCTTAAATAAAAAAAAATACTTGTAACAATAATCACTTTTTAAACAACCGCCCCGCCCCCCATTTGTTTATGGTTTTCATCTATTTTACCGTTTAAATAATTACCATAGACTATTTACTCAGACTCATTTGCATGAAGTCAACATTTAAAAATTTTGACCCCTCCCTGGTCCTGTATTACCTGCTGTCCCACAAGGCTTAGAGAGGCGACCTGCTCACTTTCCATGAAGAAACACACCGCGTTCAGTAGTTCAGGTCCTGCACTGTCAATGTTGTCATTATTACCAACATAAACTGAAAAAAAAAACTATGAAAACCTTCAAAAATGGATCCATGTTAAGGTCAGTTCTTGGGATTAAGGAAGGCATTATTTCCTCACAAGTATAGTATGTATATGAGAGTGTATAGAAAAAAAAACAACACAAACACACACAGCACCTACACAGCATAACAGCACTTCACACTGACACATGGCCACCCACACTGTGGCAGAATAAGCTCCACTCAGGTCCTTTTCCCACCACGACACCGCCTGGCAAACGCACACAATGTCTTTCTCCGCATGACAAATGTTGGAACTGAAGACTGTTCTACTCCAACAGCCTCTTCTCCTTCAAATTTTTCTATATATAAATGCTGACTTCAAGATATTACCATTTGTAAATTCTTCTCTCCTTCCTCTAATAGGTTTTTATTAAAAGGCTGATACAAGTTATTTTGAATCAGCTGCAACAAAGGGTCTAAGTGTCTGACCTTTTTATCTAGCTGTTTTCTAAATTCCACTTCAAATTTCAAACTTCAAGTGTCCAACTTTAGTAAAAATGTAATATATCTTCATTAAGGTATTGCATGTGGCAGAAAAAATGGTCATGAGGGCAGGGACTAATGGAAAACTGAATTGTGATGTATGTTTTCTCACTTTAAAACAGGTCAAATCTACGAACAAATGTAAACAAAAGATGTTAAACCCTTCTTTCCCTACTAAACTGAGTTACAGGTCTTAAAACATCTATCATTTGAATTATTAATACTTTCTGTTAAAGGTTTGTTTACATCAATTTTGATTGTAAATAGGGCTTTATTTTCATTTTGTTAACCTGAGAAACACAAAAGTGTTTATTTTAATATTGGAAGTTAAACTCTTCAATATTGTATATTAAAATGTCTGTGATTTATCTAAATAAGTAACTTATTTAGATATTGCTTAAAGTAACTAAGCAATATCTAAATTACTGAAAGTTAATTTATGAATCTGGAGTAAAACTGTGATTGACTTAGCAAATTATCGCCCGTTAAATAGTCTCAAAGGGCAATGTAACGTTAAAACAGTGAACAGAAAAGAAATGTTTCTAAAAAGAAAACCGATTGAAACCTGCTCCAGTTGCCACAGTTCCATTTACAGTTTATTACAAACTATTTTGCAAAATATAGTTAATGTTGCTGACTAGAGCTGCAACAATTAATCCATTAGTTGTGACTATTAAATTAATCGGCAACTATTTTGATAATCGATTAGTCATTATGAGTAATTTTTTAAGAAAACCAGCCTCATACAACAGAAAATACATACAATATAATAAACATGAAACCAGGAATCTTAATCATGTACAGTTAAATCATAAAACTTTTCAGGTACATCACGTGATGATTAGTCACATCCTACCTACGTACTGCATTTAGAACAACCAGCATGAAGCAGAATATGATTAGTAAACGCTCTGGCTGCCTTCAAAAGATAAAAAAGACTGAATTTCATAAATTTACATTTAAATGACACCAGGGGTGTCATCAGGGTTTGTGTGAGCACAAGAAACATTTAATCCGATCTGGTTGTGTACTAAAAAGGAGGCTTTCCAGTTTTGGGCTACATTTTCAGGATGTTTTAGTCAGTGCTCAGTATCTGTGTCTACATTCACTTGAGCTGGGGGCCATGGTGCTCGCTCGGGTCAATGAACCTGTGTCAGAATGAAAGGAATTTCTCCTTGAAAGCGACACCTTTGCCTTTAGGCACTTTGAAATTGAAACATGACCGGTATCATCACCCCAGAGAACACACCGATTCTGTAATACCCTTCTTGCTATCAACTTAAACTTATAAATCAGCACAATCCTGCTCATAACACCCCAACCATTATATACAGTGATTTGTTTACATGTGTTTTTTAAGTGTTTGTGTGTGCAGAGGTGACAGACAACAAATCCCACATTATCAAACACAATTTAGATTTCTTTTGATCAATACCACCTCACTTTTACCTCCTTCAAATGAACATGTCTTTCCCCCCCCCCCTCAGGATGAATCTTACATCCAGGTATTCTTGAGGGTGCATATCAAGATGCAGTTCAGTGCATCATCTGCCTGCCAGTTTAATGGGAGAGCAGGGAGCAACCGTTCTTTCTCTCCACCTCCTTACCCCACCCCTCTCACACATACACTGGCTTCCAGCCCAGATCATGCACACTACAGTCTCAGCTTCTCTGCAGCACCGCTACAGCAACAATGGAGCGCTATAAGTCGGTTATTTTTGTGTGCACATTGATACAACAAAGAACTACTTTCAGTACGTGTACAGGAGTTACAGGAAATCCTTGAGAAAAGGCTCTGTTCCTCTAAAATAAAAACACAACCAGATGTTTCATACGTTGTTCGCAACAAGTGTTGGCTTGAGCAATATTTTTTAAATCAAAAACTCACTCTCTTCGCCTAAGACTCCTCTTAGTATTTGGTGGCATCTGAGTTGAGTAAATCGGACAGGACAGGACATAGTGAACCCATGAATGCTGCATGAAGTACGGTCACAATAATGCACTGCTGCAATATCCGCAGTTGTTGATGAGATTTTCTTTATTATAAGGGCGGCTGCAGGGCTTCATGAGCAAGAGAATATCAGACAACCGCAGGATACGGGCGCGATATCTGTCTGAAGCAATAAAATATAAAGCAATAAGGGTAATATCAACGAACCACAGCAACCCGTAACAAGCTAGTGCACACACATACATATGCACTCAGTATACACAGGAATATATTTGAATCCAACAACCCTACAATGAATCCTAGCTTATGAATCTTATAACTGGGGCATCAACGATTAGTCAGAAAAATTGACAAAAATCCTATTTTGACAAGTTGACTGTTTCCATAATTTTTTGTGCAAAAATGCTGAACACTCTAGTTCTAGCTTTTCATTTGAAAGGATTTGCTGCTTTCCTTTGACTTATGTGACACTTGAACAAGACTCCATCTTCAGCTTTCGGAAATCATAATGGGCAGTTGTTGATTCTACTCGGTCGTAGTTTTTTGATGCTGTAGTCAACTGTTGTACTTTGAGCCCAAATGATACTGGATTTTTGAGGCCTATACTTAAGTCAATATTTGAGAATTTAAAAAATAAAAATATTGTTTAAGATACAATAATACTACATTTTATTCGATGGCACCTTTCATGGCACTCAAGGTCACCTGATTGAAAAACATTCAAGCATAAAATAAAATAATAAAAATATGGCATCATAAGAAAAACATAACATTTAATTTTAAAAACATATTGGCCCAAATATTGGCCAACATATCAGTGCAGACTACTTATCAGTCTAGCTCTAGTTGTAATGGATTGGAGCTGAAACCATGGTCAAATAGTCAATACGTCCACTGACAGAGAATCTATCATATTTCAAGTAGACGTCAAATATTATCTGATAAGATCTCCTGCCTTTACTGGTTTTACATTATAGTAAATTAAATAGCTTTGGGATTTTGAAGTAGTCACACAAAACATAATTAGAAGATTAGAACAGATTAATCAATAATGTAAATAATCTTTAGTTGTAGCCATATATGGGAGTGCATTACACTGATGCACACCCTATGTCACTACATGAGGAACCATAATATTAGAAAAGGTTAAAGTCACACAACTATAGGGGTGCAACTAACCAATTTTTTCACATATAATTTATCGGTCAATAATTTACCAGATTTGTTGCTAAATCATTTCCCAAGCCCCAAGGGGGCCATTTAAAGTTTGCTTGTTTTGTCAGTTTAAACCCCAAAGATAGTTAGCTTATTATAAAGGAATTAGAAAAGTAGCGAATATGCACACTTAAGTCGAAACAGTTACTTAACTGGTAATTTTTTTTAACTGACTACCAAAATAATTGTCATTTCAGCTCTAAATACACCACCACCACTAAATCCAGCCTCAAAAACTACTGTAGATTTCACATGAGGCATGAAACATGGCATGGAATTGTGGCAGAGAACACATCTCTGCCACAACCTCAACCAAAAGTGACTATTATAAACATAAATAAGATTTAATTTAATGCAGGACTATATTAAACGCTATCTCTGTCAATTCTATAATGTGATTTTGCAGTTTGTGTTTATTTACCCTATAATAGTCAGCAAAGTAGTTAATTCGCAGGCCTATAAGCATGAGTGCAGCGTTTGAATTTTACCCCCTCCTCCTCCTCACGGTGACGTGGTGGTAAAAGTGCAACGTGGATGGGGCAAATAACAACACGAAGCCATCTGACACCTGAATCGAAAGTGAAACGCCCCCCTCTCCTCGGTCCATCTAACTCCATCCGTGTTCTTACCTGTACTGCCAGCCTTGGATCAGGTTGGTGTATTTGCTCAGCACTCCTTCCAGCTGCCTCTTGCGCGCCTGCTGCTGCAGATTCATGCTGTTCCCAAGAACAGCTCCCCGGCTGCCTCCCGCTCCAGCCGGGCCGCCCAGGGAACCGGAGCCGGGGCTATAAGACCCGGTCCTCCCGGGCTTCCTTGACGATGAGTTCCCGCGGTCCGACGAGGAAGAGTTGGTTTTGTTGGTCCCGGGATGCGGACTGCAGAGCGTCTTGTCCATCCTGGCGACGGGACGGCGGAAAGCAAGAGGAGGAGGAGGAAGAGGAGAAAAAGAGGGGAGGAGGGGACGGGGATGGACCAGCAGCGGCGGCAGGGAAGATTTCACCAGGGCATAAGTGGCAAACAGCGCGATGTGTGTCTGCTGAATTAAAGCGGAGGCAGTGAATATGCATCGACTCCGCTACGCCGGTGGTTTAAGCGTCCCTCGGTGCGTGAAGAAGCTGACATATTCCTCGGTGGCGTTAGTGTCCTGCTCGCTCCTCTGCAGTGCGCGGCTGTATGGCACTGTGGGTCTCCTCCAGCGTTTTCCTGGTAGGAAGGGAGAGCAGCGCGCAGACACGCCCACTCCACTCTGGACCACCCCCGGATATTACAATGCAATGCTTACAATACACATCATCATACCAAATCATACCCCCCCCCCCCACCACCACCAAGAAAAAATAAAAAACGATTCCTGCAAACGCCAGCAGGAAAAGCCCGAGATGACTCATGAGGCTGATACACATACAGACTTTCTTTCAAACTAAAGGGCGTAGGTTTGGTGTTACAATTGGGGCCATAATGTTATGATAAAGGCAATGCAACACATTTACAGGGCTGCAACTGACACTTATTTTCACATGTCATTCATCTGTCGATTATTTTTTCGATTTACTGCTAAATCATTTCCCAAAGCCCAAGTGGGATGTCTCCAGATTGCTTTTTTTGTGTGACCAGCAGTCAGAAACCCCAAATATTCAGTTTACTACTAGGCTACACAAGTCAGATGTTTTTCTATACCTCTGCCCCCAACTAAAAAAAAGCTGTAAATTGGCTATCTGAATGCTTTTAAGGTGGAGACAACAAACTCTACCACAACCCATGTAATTCAAACATATAAGAGACAGTGGTTGGAAACACACTACTGGTACCACGATACTTTGTTCTTCCAACGAAATAAATCCGGGAATAAATAAATGAGACAAGATGTTTTTACTTATGAAATAAAAGCTCCCTTAAATAAATAGAAGTCCTTTTTGTCCATTTTAAATATTTGCTGTTAGGTAGGTTTTATTAAATTTTCATGGGGGAGGACCGCTCATACACATAATACCGCGCCCCTTTCTGGCCCCTCATTTAGATAAATACTAGCTCCACCTGACTGCAGGACCTGAAAACCATTTAAGCAAACAATTCACACATTTTTTCCCCCCCAAGAATCAAAAAAGGAAGAAGTAAATAATAACATAACAAAAAAAAAAACAATGCTCATATAAGAAGAAAATTTAGCAAAGTATTTATTTTAATATTAATTTGCCAATAAAGAAGGGTAGATTGTTGTTGTAACTGAATGTAATTTTAATATATTTTTTAGTTTATTAATTAAATGTTTTGAGATGGCTTTCAGACAGTTGTGCTTGAGATTTTGAATATTTATAGAATTGTATAACCCCTTCACACATACACACACAACCAAGACAACTAGGAGAAAAAAGGGTATTAATAAAGACCAGAGTGAGAAGCACTGCAGCTAGTCACAAAGAAAAGATCAATACAAGAGAATAAAATCCCTGTGCAACAGAGTTAATGGTTTGTTAAAAAAGCTTGTGCTGAGAGTCAAGCTCGGCTCAGCTGCATTTCATTATTAACTTTTAAATTTAGGATGTATGTAAATTCTTTTAAAAAAGAAGAATTAATCATGTACATTTTTCGACATGACTGTTCACTAAACGTCACCCCTGAACAGCAACTGTCCAATCACAACTTAGCAACCATAATTAGGCACAGCACATCTGTGGAGCTTTAGTTTTGTCCACATGTTGAAGAAATGTGCATGGGTTTGTAGAAAGAGACATACTCTTTATATTAAGGAGTTGGAGGGTTGTATATAATAATAATAATAATAAATGCTGCAAATGTGACCATTTACTGTAGTAACCTAGAAATATTTAATCCCAAAGGCAAATGGTTCTGCTTCTTTATTTACATGTCTTCTACATGCATGCAGATGCTAACCTTTTGGGAGCTGTTAGCTTTAGCCGCAATCTTTTAGCATTATATCCATGTTTAAAACCCTTTCACATTTTAAAATAATCAGCAAAAAAACATTAAAATGTCAGTTGTAGCTGCAGTTTTAATCTGGCATTAGCTTCTGCTTTCTAGCTACAGCTGGTCAAATCCAAATCCAAGGCCATTGCCTAAAACTGAGAAGCCTTAATTTGTTTACCTTTTTATACCTTAAAATTGTTAAATCTGCCACTCTTATCATTGTAAACTGCTTATGTGCTGTGAGAAAACTCAAAGGTTAACAGGCGTAGCAACAGTAACTAGGAAGGAAATCAAAAAAGAAGGAAGGGTCATTACGTCACTGTGTAGCCCGTGGATGCACATTGCTGCCAAGCTCTCGGTGCAGTTAACACAGTGGTGAATGGGTACACCACTCTTTCATCTCTCCAATCTCTGTTTCAAAGTTTATCAGTCCGGGAGATGGAGGCACAGGTATTTTGTTGTGTTGTTATTATTAGGGCTGAAACGATTCATCAATTGAATCAATAAAATTGATTAATAAAATGCGGCATCGACGCAAAGATTTTGGGAAGTTTGGCAAGGACATTTATTACGGTCGCACATCGCGCTTATGCTATGAACACGACGTGATTATAATGGAGCTGTTTGCAAAGTGGAGGAAGAGAGAGAAAATAGCGAGGGACAAAGAAGAAAGTGTCTAAAGTATGGGATTATTTCAAACTAAAGAAAACAACAACAACAACTCTGTAATGTCACAGTCCGTCCACCATATAACGAAACTTATGTCGCCTTGGCAAAAGCACAACAGCATCTGATCAGAAAGCACCCGGTGTTTTGCCAGCGGTAACAGTAACTTTAGCATTTAACTGAAATCATGATTGATTGTTGAGTTGAAGGCTAGCCAAAGTAAGCCGCGGTCCTCAGCTGAAAATTTGTTTGTTGTTCTCCTTTTTGGGCCGTGAGTTGTAACCTCACAGTCAAGAGTTAACTGGGTGTCGGGGAACTGCACCTTTTAATTCACCTCCAGCTCTCTCTGTAGCTCAGAGCTCACCGCTAAGCAAAAGTACTTCTTAAATGACACATCGATGAATCGTTAAAATAATCTATAGAAGCTTTGAATACTAACATCATCGTTAGCTGCAGCCCTAGTTGTTATTTAGGTAATCTTTCATGTGTTTCCAAGGTACATTTCATTTGATTTGTATGTTAATTCAATGATATATTTGCATGCAAGTTTCATTAATGTTATGGTAGGTTTATAACAGACTGGAGCTTCTTATGCATATGTGACTGAGGTCAGTAAGTTAACTAAATTGTAATATACACTGACTAAACTCTGAGCCCATTACCTAATGTTGTGTAACGCAATCTACATATCGGATATGGTGGCCAGGTCTTAGGTATAGCCAAAACAGGGCACCTGACAAATGGGATTACAGCCCAGCTGTAGATTTTATCAGCAGTAAATAAACAAATGTGCACATCTGGAAAAAAAAGGTTTTGTGCGATTTTTTCATGCATCTTCATTCAACAGAACTGGCACCGAGCAGAGCATGAGACAGTTGGTATGATGTAACAACACTTCCTTCCTTTTTAGTTTCCTTGGTTCTGTTCCAGAGGTAAGAAAACCTGTTTCAAAAGCACTTTGGTATTTGTAACTACACTAACAACCCTGGAAAAGAGCCTTTCAAAAACGCTTCAAATGTTTAAATAAGGATGGTAGTTTTTTGAAATGCTATTCAATATTGTTTTTATTTAATATTTCAGTCTTCTTAGCTGCCTTCATTGAACACAATTACCCATAAGCCCCTCACCTTCACACGTTAAACGTAAAAGAGGGCAAATCCATGGGAGAGTCGAGGGGTTGCTGTCAGCTCAAACATGTCTGTAATAACAGCTGGACAGAGAAGACGAATGCTGTAGAAGTTTTCAGGTAGCAGAGATCAAAGCTAAAAAAAAAAAAAGGAAAAATAAATATAATAAAAATACTTTATACATTTTTCAGGATATGGACGAGACCAAGGTACCATGATGCAATTACGCGCTGTACTGCACTTGTAGTTTTTTAACCTCAGGAATACGCTTAATTTATTTTAGAAAGGCAGAAGAAAGAAATGCTGAATGAGAGATTGCATTGAGATACAGAAGCTCCCTGGCTCTAAGGCTCTCTATTTTATTCTGCAAACTGCAGTATCATCCCATTTAAAATTATCATCATCTTCAGTATTTCTTCCCCTTCATCCTCCAACATGATCATCTTCATCACTATCATCCATGTTATAAAAACTTGCATCATCAGTGCCTCAGTCACCACCACTCTGCCGAAACAGAACGCGCTGCTGCAAGAGCTACTGACCGGCACAACAGAGAAATGGTGTTTCCTCACCTCAGCAATGAAGACATGAAAGAACTCATTCCCCAGAGCTGTGATTCGATGAGTTTCTTTTTTCCAGGTACACACTGTCATTGCGCCAATCTCCTCCATTACAGTCCTGCATCAGCCCAGTCAGAGTTATGGCAGCTGTGTCTGCCTGAGGCAGGCCCTCATCATCTTCCACTACAAGTCCGCTCTCGACGCCAGAGCCATTACTGCCTAGTAGGAGACCCTAAAAACCAAATGGCTCCAAAATGTCGGCTTTTTAGCAACGAAGAACAGCAGCCTTGTTTGCAGCAGGATAGCAACACATTTATTTGTTTATGTAGTGGCTTAACCCAAATGAAATATCATCCTTTTGCAAACTGACAGCATCACATACGCTATATTCTGCATGAGCTTAATCCAACTCTTCATTGAAGTCATCGTGTTTACACTGGGTCAAAAATTTAAATGGGTTTGCTTCGTCTTCACCACTTCAATAAGAAATTTTCTTGGTCTCCTGTGCCAGGTCAGTGTGGTTTAAGGGATTAAAACTAGACTAAAATTCAAATTTAGGAGGCATCTACTTGACAATAACCATCCACATGCTAAATTTGACTTACTTTTACTAGCTACTGAATGGCAACCTAACCGGTACACAGTCACTATGAAATGTTTAATACATGTTCTAATTCTTCAAATTCATAAAAACTGTGTGGCCAAAAGTATATGGATATTCCTGCCCACATACTTTCTGTACAGTTGGGACTACATTTTATATTTCGTATTTCTGATTCTTTATATTTTTGTTTCTTAAACCTTCTTTCTTGCGGAGACTTAGATAAAAAGATACCACTTCCAATGTAACTCTCGACAAGAAACTGTATTTCCCAACATGTTGAACTATTGCTTTAATACTATAGAGAGAGCCTAAGTCCCTCCT